AGATCTCTCACACCCTGGTACAGCAGTGTGTAAAGACCTGAGTGATTAGAGTGGGTGGGGGCATCTGATGTCTCTGTAATAGCAGCAAGTCGCTAGAACACTCTGCTTTCCAGAAACACCAAACACCGCTAAGCTGCGGCTCCTCTGTTTTGAATGGGAACTGTAGAATATATTAAGTGAGGTTGTTACTTACTTGACGATGCGGCTATACATCTGGGACCTGACTGAGAGAAAAGATGTGACACTGGCCATGGTGGTGGAGCCACAAGGTGAGGAAGCAAGATGGGGAGAGGTGGAGCAGGCAAACGAAACCACTGGCTCGTGACCTCTATTGAGTTAATTGTGACAATATTGTCATGGACAATCAAGGGGGATGCCACCCACCTCTTCTGATGGTTCTTTAATAGTGTATTATAGAACAGATGTGCACTAATATTTAATGGCGGGGCTCAGAGGCGATATGCATATTCGAAAAGATAAACAGTGTTGAAAACGGTGTTTGATCTTGCAGGCTCATGACTTCAATTGGCATGTGAAGTTGTCATAATAATTCTGAAGCTGTCATGAATAATTCTGAAGCTGTCATGAATACTCATGAGGTGCTACCTGCCTCTTCTGATGACTCTTTAACCGCTGATATAATGTATTATAGGACGGAAGCACCGTATCAGCTGGTGTTGTGGAGAAACGGGGTCGCGGATGCCCCTGATTGTACACAACAGCTGATGAGCGCCGGGCAGCTAATACACTGAAACAACGCAATCGTCGTGGAAGACTCAAAGCGTAGGAGACAATCGTGAATGTCAGAAATAGATTGTAGGCTAACATGACGTTGAATAAGAGAGATCAGGCTTGTATCGGAACCCCTGAATGCCGCAACCAAGGTATCCGCTACTCATTCAATGGGAACTCACAAACCTGAGCGGTAAGACGCCTCGCTAATAGGCAAGGCTGAATACTAAGGAATACTAAGGCAGGCCAAACCAGCACTACATCCAGTACCGCGAATGGCGCATTCAGGCATGCTAGAAATGGATGACGAATTCTCAGCTATGGAACGTTGGCCTGCCATCGGAGAGAACCTGAAGTGCCCCCACTGCGGTGTCAATGTCAACAAGTATGCATGGCTCACATCGAGATGCATGGAGCTGGAGGACGATGTTCAGAGACTTCGAACAGAGATCTCAACGGGTGCCTTAGTTTAGTTTACTTATCCAGAAGTTACTGCCCAGGTTCCGGGTGTTTGTTGGGGGGAGCTGAAAATACATTATGTTGACACGTTTTAGCCATTATACATCATGCGTGCAAACGGACAGAGCATGGGCCTGGACGTACAACGGTAGGGGAGAGGAAAAACTAACAAGAGGAGATAGGGGAGGGCGGTAGTGCCGATACAGAAGATGTGAAAGCCCAGGTTAGAAAGAGAAGAACCCACTTGTAGATGACAAAAAGGAAGGGCGGTCACAGCACAAACTCATTCAGGGCCCAACTTGCCGAAACCCACCGAAGATAGCGTCTTCACCATTGGCAAGAATGAATGACTTACTGTATCATGCAGTGAAAGGTGAGGTAGGAGAGAAGCAAGCCAACAAAAGAACAACACGCTCTGAGGAAACACAGGAAAAACTAAAAGGTACGAGATGTAAGTTAGCATAATGAACATAAAGAGAGAAGTTAAGCCGAAATGTATGGGAGATGCGGGGAGATCACTGCGACAGGGTTTACAAAGTAGGAAGTTCACCCATTATGCGCTTGGTGATGCGAAATGGTCCAGCTAGAGGTTACGGGCTTATATGATGGATGTCACTGCACCTTGTGCAGACGTCGAACACCCCAGCTCACTGTTCATGAAACCAGATGGCACACCATTCGAAATTTTGAGCGTTTTGCAGTGAGGATGGTTATGAAGTGTGGTTTCAGGCCGATCTGGATTTTGAGCATGTGGACCGCTCAAAAGCTCCGGAAGGGACGATGTCCTACAGGTGTACACATGTCCGTTTCATGCAGTGTTGCAGGAACGAGAGCGGCAAGAAGTCTCCCAATACAGGCAACCTTCTGAATGACTTCACTTAAACGAGCATAGTACCATGTAGCACCACCAAATTTATACTCGCCTACCACTTCCTGCAGTTCAAGTCACCAAAAGACGATTCGGATGGATTGTCTTCCACTTCGCCTGCCTCAACGTGCTTGTGGAGTACTGGAATGTATGTCTGCTTAATTGGGAACGTGAGCTGTTTTCATACCGATTACAACTGACAGTTCTTCAAAATGACAGAACATAAGCCAAGGAGGTTAAGAGTGCCTCTGTCAAAAACCCGTCGGTTATGGAAGAGGGGGGTGAATGCGTGAGTCCGAATGCAGGCGGGGGCTCAACTAGAGGGGGATCCGAGGGCTCCGGTAATGAACCGAAGCTTCTCAGGGAGCCCGGTTCTGCTGGATGGTACAAGAGGCTCTAAGAAGGACGCGGCCTCAGCGACTCGGGGGAGCGCTGTGCCTCCGTTACGTCTCTGTTAGTCCTTGTATTTCTTATGTCTGAGGTGTCTTGTAGAACAGAGACAGGAATCACTCAGAGGGACTTGGGGTGGCATTTTAGTCGAGATTAGAACTGAGGAACTACAGGTTCTAATCTACGTGTATTTATAAAAGTGGATGGGGAGGACTTTAGTCAAAGCCCGAAATGACAAAACGGGGAAAACACCGAAAGGTACCGAATGATACCGAGAGGTACCGAAAGGTTCCGAACGATATCTAAAACGGGGAACCGAGGTGTCGGGCCAAGGAGGGCGGAGTTGGAGGCCGGAAAATGAATGGGGAAGACAAATGGGGAAGGGGGGGTTAGCCGACTGAATGGTAGTAAGAAGGTAGTCGTGCTAAGAATGGAAGATGACTAATAAGTGATAGCGTGAAGGAGATCACCGAAGGATACGGTTAGCTCCGAAAGCGGAGTTGCGTGTCCGAAGGATGTTGGGTGACTCCAATAAATGAAGTGGGCGAGGGAATGGTTTAAGGGCATGTCACGGGATGTCGGAGGTCCGTCAGGATATCGGAGCAAATCTGGGGTCTCCAAATGTTCCGACTCGGGACCGAGGTTCCGGGATGGGAGTAGCCAAGGTTCGGTGTGCCGCAACCCGACCGGAGCTGAGACAGCCAGGAGGGAAGGTGATTTGGAGAGTGGGGAGGCATGGTGTAGGGGATGGTGAAGTTGTTAGGAAGGTGTGATGTGGTGGGAGTGTGCGGGGTCGGGATTCCGGGATATGACAGCCTCCTGGCATCCCATGTCATCGTTTCCAGGTTGCTGCTACCTGGCATCGGCCTAGAATGCTTGACTCTTGACTGGTGCATCAAGTATCTTATTAGGAGAGGCTCAACACCGGCATACATAAACTCCGCTAGTCAGTTAAATCTATTTTTTCCTGTTCATTATCTAACACTAAAGGAACGTCTGTATGATCAATTCCAAGCTGGGCATAATCAACGGGAAAGTTTGCAGCCACTTTAGCAGTTCGGCACCGCAGTTCACAAATAAGGTCAGGATTTAGGGTTCTCCAGGTAGGCTGCCAGCTTGGTGTTAACAGAGGAATAGAAAGGATTTGGTGTTTCACCCTATCCTGAAAATCATCGATGTTTGTGTCTTTCGGTGCAGCATTGAGCCCGATGTGTACAGCTTGAATGTCAGCCATGGTCCAAACCCCACAATCATACCCGTTCCATTGGCACTGTTCCATCTAGGACTTGTAATGTATATGATGTTCATACAGCAAGATGGCACACCTACAGTGTTACAGGAATGGGTTCCGGGGAACCCAACCTGAGCCGTTCGGCCCACTAATGGAGGTGGCTGCGTAACCATCGGAGGGAGAGCAGAATAGGATGAGTGTATGGAAGTACAACCTGTGTGCCGGCCAACGGTAACTTGGCGCTCCTGGGAGCGCACCGGTAGCGAGTATGATGTGGGCTCCTTGAGGGAGCCACCTGGCTGTCTGCTAACGGGGACTTGGCGCTCCTGGGAGCGTGCCGGTAGCGGGTGTGCTGGGAGTGTTTGGCTAGCGGTGACTTGGCGCTCAATGGAGTGTACGGTAGTGAGGGATACTGGGACTCCCAAAGGGAGTCACCCAGTTGGTGGCTATCGGTGACTTGGCGCTCATGGGAGCGTACCAGTAACGGGAGTTGTTGGGGAAAGCGGGCTGGTGGACCAGTGCACGGTAGTGGGTGACCGTGGGAAGTGGGACCTGCAGGTGCGTGGCCAGGCATCCTGGAGCTGCCTGGACCGTATCCTTCTCCTGAGGAGGTGGGATAGGCTACAGTTCCTGATAGGGAACTTCTGGTTGGATGGGAGTAACCACTCGACCACCCGGTGGACTGGTGGGAGCGGGCAGCAGGAGGTTGGGCATGGGAATGCCCTCCTCGTTGCGGTTTTGTCATAGAGAGGAGGAATAGGGAGGTGGACATGGTTCCAGGGTTACAGGTTGAGTTTACAGTGGTGACACAATGGTGAGGATGTTACAATCGCAGTACAAGGTTTGTGGGTTATGTATTTGATAATCAGAAAACATCTCGGCATTTGCCATACATGTCATATGACTTGTGTCTCTCTAATACAAAGGTTGTAATGGCCAAGGGAAGTCCCTTGGAAATCAACAAATCCCCCAGCCAGCACCAAAACCCAGTGGGAAAGCTTGGCATGGGGTTTGGCGAAGAACAAAGTGAAGGGAAGGAATTGTCTTACCTGTGTGCATGGTCCATAGGAATCTCCATTTCCATAACATACAGTGATTACTCTGGTGGACCAATTGGACCAGTTGTATCCATGCTCATCATCAGGGTGAATGAACAACCAGATGGCATTAACTAGGCCTCGAAGTATCTGAAGAAAGCAGTAACATTAAGACTGGAATGTGGGCTAGAATTAGGAAACACACTGTAAACACCCACTGTGGACCGTGGCGATTGATATGGGCACTTTGTTGTAGAGGTATGCTGTCAAGATAGCGCAGCTCTCATTGTTCGAAGTTGACAACACCGAGCAGCCAGTGACCATGCCTCCTTGAGTAACACGGAATCGTCCAACTGGTTGCATCAAAAAGATCGGTTCGGACCTTCTTTGTCGCTCGCTAAAATATTGGTCAGTACAGATTCCATCGGTGTATTCCCACATACATCCAACAGGCGAACTGCCATACAATGTCTCATTCCTTCACACTGGGTAGGAAACATAATCACACGGGGACGAGTGGTCTTGAGTATGTCCTGCAGCTTTTCGTCTGTAAGGTCTTTCAGCATCTCAACATAGGCATCGATTATTGCTCCATGTATCAGCCGCCGGCGATTGACTGTTGGTAGTGCATCAGGGAAGATCGCAATATGTTTGTAATATCTTGCTTTGTCTCTGGTCTTGCTGTCATTCACTATCTAATGAGACATCAGTGGCATCAGTTACAGGGGAACTTGGAAACATTCTTACTTTTTCAGTCTCTTGAGGTAAATGCAACTCCGTTATTTCCTTCCAGATTTTTGTTGGCTTTTGTTGTTGGGTAGACTGGGTGGGTGAGTGGATGGCATCAAAGATTGTTCTAATTGGAGGAAGGCTTTGGGGACGAGGGTTCTCATTCCAGAACCTCTCCTCAATATCCTCATCACAGCTGGGACTATCCACATCTCCAAACCCACTAGGAGGGACCAAGTCGGTAAGAGGCTCAGCATGTGTTTCGACATTGTCTGTGGGGTCCATTGTCTCATCTGGCCATGTCTCAGGTTCGCTATCTGGAAGGTTTACCAGCATCTCAGGGCCGAGAGTATCGCCTGGGCCACTGCCACTGTCAGTAGACAGGTAGGGCTCAACATGCTCATCATCATCAGCTACACCCAGCTCTGGGCTCATCCTGATAAGTCCATTGAGTGCGCTTAGCTCATTTCTAACTTGAGAATCATCTTTGGGGTCTATGCCGTTGGTTCCTGAGGCCAGAGTGGCAGAACCAGGGGGGGAAGGCAGAAAGAAGAATACTCCACGGTACTCGGTGCAGCTTGGGAGTCTGGACATTCTAGGTTTGCTAGCAGATAGTGCGGCAATGCATGCCATAGATTGACATGAGGAAACAGTCCGTTCACGATCGTATCACGGCATTTGAGTAACGACTTTAGGCGGAGTTGCCATCGATATTTAAACAGGGCTGGGATTGAGGACAAATCAGCGCATTGGTAATGTGGAATTTGTAGGACATACGATGAATATCGTCTGTGATCTGAATCAACAAGTCTACTGATTGGACAATCCAGGTGCACGCGTTAAGTTCCTCTCGAGCGAGCCTAAGCTTTTCCTCCTCAATACGAGCGAGTGATAGCACCGCTACTATGCCATGGCGAACCTGTTGGTCGACGATAAAAGCTGGTGGTTTCTCATCCAAGTTCCAGTTGGAATCCCACAGGCTCTCCCACATCTTTGTCCACTGTTCATCACTGGGATCCATGTTAAGCAGCTCCTTGACATTCATTTTGGCGTGTTTCAAAGAGTCTGGGAGCCAGGATGGCCTAACAGAACACTCGAGGCAGTCGACAAGCTCATTATATTGCACAACATGGGCGGAAATAATATGGGCACGGTCATTTGCGCTATTGAACACTGAGACCATTTTCGAATATCCTCAAAGTACCGGATGAATTTTCGAGCACATCAGAATTCACCTCAAATGGGGTATGCTTACCGACTTTTGTAACCAGCCGTCCTCCACGCCGTTGTGAGCTCCAAATAGGGTTAATCTTGTCCTGGTACTTGGCTAAGCAGATAAGGATGGCATGTTTGTGGAATCGGGCCAGAATGCACTTCTCCATGTAGTCCCTTTCTGTGCTAGACGGATTTTGCGGAAGTTTCAAATCGGACAGGCCAATTTGAGCTGTCAGATCGCGTAGGCATTCTTGAGATTTATCATGCAACGATCGTACACGCTGAGCGGCTTGGAAATGCTCTGTGAGGTCGATAGGACTATGGGACAGTGTTCATGCCAAGCTGATTCGGTCCAGCTCCTTCTTTACGGCATCCAATGCGTCCGAATGTGCCTGGGCTGATCGTTCAGCTTCCAAAAGTTTGGCGAACTTTTTCATTCCGGCTTGATCATTGTCTAGGGCATAACAGCATAAGTCAATGCCGAACATGAGATCGGGAATGGGCATACAGGCTCGAACGGAGAGCTGCAAAGACTTTTGCTCTTCCCACTGGGATTGAAGGAAAGGAGTTGTGAATCCCCTCTTACTCTTCAAATCTTGCAGGAGGTCGGTTAGAAGCGCCTCCTCACGAACAATGGCAGCCAATTTGGACCTAGCCAATGAAGCAAGGCGGTCTCGGCCACAGCACACGATCATCTTGATTTTGTTGTTGATAGTTGTGATTCGTTTTGCCGGCTATAGTTTTGGGACAACATTGCATAAGAGAGGGTTGTCGACCGAACAGTGTTGGGACTCACACTCATTATGCGTTCAGGCACAATTGTATCAACAATCAAGGACCATAATCGCTCATTTCCTTCCCCATTTGACTTTCCGAACCCATTTCGTTTCCAGGGGTGAAATGTGATTTGACAACAGAATTGATGTGCATAGGCATGGAAGACTGAAATGGCGATGCTCAATCTAGGAGCAATTTCGGGGATAAGATTGTACTTTGTTCAAATATCAGAGGTTGTAGTTGCAGACCATGCGAGGCCATACCTTGGCGATCAATCGATCAAGAACACACCCAACATCATACATTAATCCAATAGTGGCATTTGAGGGTAGTTGGCAGCTAAGTGCAAGGAGCATGGCAATCGAAAGTGCTGCTGTTCACCCGGAGTGCGTACATCGCAGAGGAAAAGGGGGATGTCATGACGGCATACGGTTTCCATCAGGCCCTTCAAACGGAAGGTATCCATTTTTGAGGCTGACTGCTTTCCATGTTTCATGGCTCTGTGTGATTCTTCGCATTCATCAATAGCACCATCTGGTACAAGGGATGAGGGACGAGATACTTCTGAACAGCCTCTAGATGCAGCTCGTGCATCAGAGATATGGCGGGCAGCTTCCTCGATTTCGGCATCGGTGAGGAATGTGCAAGTTTCATTCCAGGGAAGAATCATCTCTCCTCCAACAAACATGTATTGCTTATGTTGCATATTACCATCCATGGCGACGATGACATCAGGATATCTAGGGAATCGCTTAGTATACCTGTTCCCGAAGCATATGTATGAGAGGACTAACCCGTTGGCTGAATTGCCCCACATCAAGCCTCCAAAACATTGCGGGCATCTCGTGCAGAGGTATGGACTTGCACTGCTGTCAGACAGGTTGCGAATCAGCTTTGTTCACTCATGGACCATCAATGGAAGGTCCGGTGATGTCCCTATGGAGGTTGGGATGCCGTGGTTAACAGTCATCACACCATGGGATGCAGTGACCGATGGATCGCCATTGTGGGCAGGAGCGACATGGGTAAACGCAGTGGACTCGACCAGCGCGGAACGACATAGCGGTGCATCGGGTGCCGCAGGGGATGTGGGTAGGAGAAACTCTCTCTCCGTTTCAACCTCTACCGAGTCACGTAGGGCTTGAAACCATGTTATCGCCTCACTAAACGACTGCAGAAAGGGGTCCTATATGTGCGCTGGATCATGAAGGTGCCAATTCCCGACATGCAACAAATAGATCTTATGTTGTGGGTGAATTCGTAACCGTTCTCTTGTAACATGGCAAACAAAGCGGCATGAAAGGAGGCAATCGGGGTGTATGAGTCCACATGCAAAGCTGAATACAGCGAAAGGACATCGAAATGAAAGGCAACTTGGGGTGTTACAGGTGACCCTGGAAAGTAGCCAGACTGGATGATGCTAAGCGGGAGAGTATTGGACGGACATTTGCAATATTTGAACGTCTGCCACGTGGCACCTGGCTCGGGGTCATTGGGACACTGCTAAGGGAGGTCAGAACGCAAACGTACCTGAGAATGCGATCGTCATGAGTGAATGAAACTGGAAAGATGTATTGCAGTGGGAGCACAGCGATGCTGCTGGTGTTTGCAGTTTTCCGTTTCTATCATACAACGTCTCGCTGGGGGCGGCAAGGGGCACACGTCCTGCCTTCTTTGCCTCTAGACCTAGATAGATTTCCACCACTTTGTGTATTACATCGTGGCGCCAATGGAGCCATGCAACTTGCTTTTGCAGATTTCGTAATGCTCTCTTGGCCCATTTTCGGGAAGCTGACCGCAACAGTGTAGGGGACAGAGCAGTGTCTGGGCCCGAAGGAGTGGGCTCTGCGATATTTTCCAGCCAACCCTGAGGGGATGCTTCCCATATTGGTGATTCCTTTTTTAGAGCTGGCGTTGAAGGGGGAGTCGAAACATTGCTGGCATCCGCTGACATTGCATTTCCTACGTGATCGTGGCGATTTGGCACCTGCCACCAATGTGTAGGCTCAATGCCAGGCCCCCAGCGTTGTGTCATCATGGTGCCGCTGGCGTTTGCTATCTCAATGCATCGTGACGGCTGGGAAATAGGGACTTCAGCGGCTGGGACATGCTTATGTCCTTTCTTTTTTGACATTGAGGGTTCGGATTCAGGTGCGGATTGGGGGCCAAGGAAATCAGCATATTTTTTAGGTCTTTTTAAATTATATGGCTGATATTTTTTCACAGGCGAAGTAGTAAGGGGTGGAATTACAGGCTTATGCCTTGGCATGGGAGTAGCTGCTAAAGAAACTAATGGGTTCGGGTCAAAGGAGCAGAACGGGATAGGTCTCCCCCAACAAGTGTGGGTATATCGGCTGAGTTACGCCGGTAGCCGACCTGTAAGAGAGACATGCACTCAGCTGCATATTCATGTGTGTAGCTGTAGTACATACCAATAGGAACGGACACCAAACGGGGCGATTTGCGGCGAAGAAGGGCAATTACTGGTGCTCGCTCGGCACTGAGGAATATATGTATAGCACGGGCACTGGTCTTATAAAGGTCTTTGGGTATTGGATATTCAGCGGCAGGCAGTGGCGAGGGCACACGTCGGGTTGAAGTCCCAGCCCAACTGTACCGTTTCTGACGTCGCTTTAGCGCTGATTGAGGGGTGCGTGGTTGCTGGACAGTGGATATGAATACGGTCCCACTGATACGGATTGGACAAGAGGATAGTGCGCGATACGAGAGTGTAGAGGATCGTGGCGAACACCCAACAATTCTGAGATCTTTTGCACCTGTTCGATGACAAAAGACGACGCACACAGCGTTTGTCGCCGTTTTAGGGATGTATGAGCGCAGACGGCGAGATCTGAGGGTCAGTGCACAAGCATGCAGGGAGGGGAATTGTGTGTCGGTGCGTAATGCAATACACCGTTTGGGTAAGATGATTTGATGGGGGCCAGGAAGGTGTATGTATGACACAAAATCGGAGTGGGGGATCGGCTTTTGCAGCGGGTGGCCCAGACGAACCAAACAACTGTGAGTACCAGGGGTGCGTGATTGCTGGACAGTGGATAGCGAATATGAATATGGTCCCACTGATACGGATTGGACAAGAGGATAGTGCGTGGTGTAGAGGATCGTGGTGGATACTCAACAATTCTGAGATCTTTTGCACCTGTTTGATGCCCGTTTGATGACAGAAGATGATGCACAGAGCGTTTGTTGCCATTTTAGGGATGTATGAGCACAGACAGCGAGATCTGAGGGTCAGTGCACAAGCAAGCAGGGAGGGGAATCGCGTGTCGGTGCGTAATGCAATACACCATTTGGGTAAGATGTTCTGATGGGGGCCTAGGAAGGTGTGTGTATGATACGACTGGACAGCAGACAGCGAATATGAATATGGTCCCACTGATACGGATTGGACAAGGGATAGCGCGTAATATGAGGGTGTAGAGGATCGTGGTGAACACCCAATGGTTCTGCTTGCTGAGATCTTTTGCACCCGTTCAATAACAAAAGATGACACACAGAGTGTTTTAGGGTGTATGAGCGCAAACAGCGAGATCTGAGGGTCGGTGTGCAAGCAAGCAGGGAGGGGAATTGCATGTCGGTGCGACCGTTTGGGTAAAAGATTTTGATGGGGGCCTAGGAAGGTGTATAGCTGTCGATGTATGGCATGGAATCGGAGTGGGGGATCGGTTTTTGCGGCAGGTGGCCCAGACGAACCAAACAACTGCGAGTACCAGCGGTGCTAGGTGCAACCTCCAGCCCTCTGCAGGTGTCTCCATGGACAAGCCCCAAATCCTCACGCAGAATATACAGAACAGCCTGGAGAAACCGTTACTCTATGTAGATGGTGTACTCAGAGGGCTGGGTTGATTGGGGGGATCCCTGTCGTTAACCGTGGTGCACTAGCAACATGCTAAGCGCCTCCAGTGGATTTCAGTTAAATACAAAGAGTGGTCCTTTTTAATGATATCTATAACGAGATTGGAGGCGAACATAGTGCATTCTGTTAGGTGCAGGGCTGGGAATGATGCCAATGACAGATTTCGAGCTTACCGAATATGCCACTTATGGAAATAAATAGGAAGTAGAACACCCAAGGAATAGAGGACAGGTCTGTAGTGCAACGTACGGTTATCCTGATGTTGAGGACGTCGATCGATGTGCCTTACCTACAACAACGTTCACGGTTTGTGAATGAAACGGCTGGCCCGGCTTTGGCCGAGAGCCCATTTTGGGGACATGCATACCCCACGATTGAATTGGTTCTCACGGGGATGAAGGTGGTCAAATGGGTCAATATTTAGTGCCAATTGGGAACAAAGAAACAATAAAAGAAATATGAATGAATGGGGAAAATGTGACAACGAGTCCGAAATGGGAATTGTGAAAATTACCTCCGCAACAGCGCCCGCCTATCCTCCGTCAGCAACCTCCTCGTCTCCAGCTTTCCAACGAGCCCCTATTCGTCCCATTTGGTGCAGTACTTCTTGAGATGTGGCCATTGACAGGTGCTGTCAAGACCATGTGAGGCTATACACCATGCTGAGCCATCCGAATATGGGGTTGCCATTCTGGGAAGTGCTCCGGGGGTAAAGGAGGAAGGTGGAGCATCACTATCGGGTGGAAAAACGGCTGGGTTGTTTGTGTGGGTATGGAGGTCTGGAGAGGGGGTGAAATTGGCGGCATGGTTGGGCATGGGAATTTTGCTTGGGGTTGTCAGGAATGATGGGGAAAATAAGGAAAAATATGGAGTGAGTGTATGGAGTGTTGGATAGCGATAGAATGAGTATCGGGAGCATCAGCGGATATGTACTGCGTGTTGGTGACCAAATTCCGCAGAATCCGACTTTTTGCGGTACACGGAGTTGTCCCCACAACAATGCAAACTTGTTGAACGACTCGACACATCTTCTGGATGTCGTGGAGATACAACACCAGGAGTACATCCAACGCTCCCACCAACACAGCCAGCCCCTCCACTGGCCATAGGGTGGAAGACGACACCACCTCAAGTGATGGTGGTGATCTGGGCCTGCAAGGGCCCAGGGACGCATCTCACCTACATGAGAGACGTTGACCAAGTCACAATGTCTGAAGCCCTCACAGCTGAGACTCTCGCAGCATACGTCCCAATGTGCACGTCGCGTCCTCCATCCCCAACCCACTCTGTTACAGGGATGGGGGAAATTCCCCATTCCTCGATCCGTTCTTATAGTGGGATGACGAAGGTCATATCTGGTCTGTACCATAACGGGATATGTAATCGATGAGTGATCCCAGTCTTGCCTGGGAGTGGACGATCGAATTCCCATCGATCGCGATTGGTGATGTAGTGAGCTATTAAGGGATTGATGGTAGGTAGTTGGAGATGCCAGGACAGACGGGTCAGCCACGGGTACTTGGCGCTCCTCAATGGAGCGTACCGTGTGCGAGGTTGCGACTTGTGAGATGGGTGAGAACTTCGTATAGATGCCATCGGGTACTTGGCATTCGCAGTGCGAACGTACCGGTAGCGGGTTGATGTCATAAGCGTGCAATGAGGACTGACTAGTAGGGCCTTCGGTGACTTGGCGTTCCCAAAGGGAACGTACTGTTGGCGGGGAAACATGATGACTGACGAAGGAGGGAACAGATGGTGGATGGGCAGCGACTTGGCGTTCACGTAGCGAACGTGCCGGCATCACGGGAAAGTGGGCCTCAAAGTATTCATGATCTCCATGATCGTGATGTGACGTCATATGTCGAGTACTGGGGGGAGAGCGGAGTGACGAGGACCCATAGGGTACAGATTCAATAGGACGATACACATGTCGAGAGTCAAGACTCTCGACCTCGAGTTCTCACGGTGAGGGCCATTAGAGGACTCGATATAACCAGACTTATAAGACATATTGAGAGTTGTACAGTCACACGGGTTCAGTTGAGTCACAGGGTGGGTTGTTACAGAAGACGATACATGAGACAGTTGTAGAGCAGTTGTTAGTTAGCGGAACCACCTTCGGCGGTTTCCGTACAAGACGCGTGACTATCTACAAATGGTAAGGTGCGGGAAATCCCGCAAAACACAAATAACCTCGGCCAGCACCAAAACCCCAATGGGGAAAGCTTTGCATGAGGGGGGGAAAGGGGTAGAACGGGTAAGGAGGATAGGGTATCGGGATAGAGGATGGAAGGGAGAAAGAGGGGAGGAACAATAGAGAGGGGAAGTCTTTGACCATGCGACAGATATGGTCGTTGGAGACTCCGTATCCGTAACACACTCTCTCACGTCTGAAACAACGCGAGTACTAAGAAATCGCGTCAACCAAGTCGACGACGACATTGCCAACTTGAGGGGCGATGTCCATAACATGAATACCCAAATCTCTGGGAATAGCGATAACATCGCTCCTCTAGATCGCAACATCATTAAGGTGGAGGAAAGACTTAATGAGAAATTAAACGAAATTCTCCTCACGCTCTCTTGACGCAACGAGCCAAAGCCACCTGCAGCAATGGTGGATAACCCACCTGCAACCCTCCTGTGAACCCAGCAATGGGTGGGGACCCTATTGTCATCTCTGAGCAGACGAAAAAACCCGCTGTTGAGGCACAGGCACCCCAAGAGGTCCCTGTAGTCCCTGTTAATCAAACAGGTCAACCAATCATTAAACCTGCTGTGGAGGTGCAAGCGCCCCAGGAGGTCCCTGTAGTCCCCGTTAATCAAACGGGTCAACCAATCATTGGGGTCCCCATACCTGAAGGGATCCCCACTGTCACTGCCATCGCCACAGAGGCGACAAGTTCACGCCCGTCCGTCGAGGTACAAGAATCTGATGGACGATTTGTTCCCATCTTTAGTGGAACTAAGCCACCTACCCCGTCGACAGCACCAGTAACCACTGACGCAAAGGGGAAAGGTAGGGAGATCGACCCAGGACAACTGGCTGGATTGTCGACTGCAGGGGAGAGTGGAACTTCTCCATCCCATTTCAGGCCAGGCTTCGTGCCTGTGCTGTTCATTCTGTCGTCGCAACCCACAAATGGTGGGGTGAAAATACCATGCGTTGACGCTACTCAAACGCATAATTTCCCTCCCAACCATGGGAGAAAGAAAGCAGTGCCAATGAAGGCCACTGTGGAGACGATACAGGAGGAAGTCGGTGATGTGGAAGTCACCAGTGTTCCGTACGACTATTACACACGGAAAAAATGCCCGATCTACATTCAGGATCGTGTAGATGACATTGGCGGGCAGCCCACCAAGGTCAGACCAATATTTGCTGAGCGTAGTCTCAGCGAATCCACTTTCGACTTTAACGCCCGTGTCACGACCGACAAATCCCGGGCTCCGTCAGCGGCGAATCAATGCCGATAGGCGAATCCGCCGACCCAAAACCCATCCTAACCAGCCCCCAACCCCATGTCTGGCCCCCTGCCTTACTGCATGAGACTTGGCCAATAATCAGAACCTAGACCCTGCCGGTATTCTGACCTTACCTCCAGTTCCTGAGCCCTTGGTGCTCCCGGCATTCAGTCATGCCTGCCTTGTCTCCACCTGAACCACACTCATCGCTTCCCACTATGTGGTCACAGCCATGCCCCACTTCCGTGCATTCCGCACCCTCTGCCCACTCTGCACCCTCTGCCCACTCTGCACCCTCTGCCCACTCCCACCCTCTGCCCATCTCTGCACCTTCTGGCCACTTCTGGTTGCCCTTGACACCTCTGGTCAGGTCAACACTCCCACTCCCCTCTGTACCTCTGTTGGCCTTCATGCTGTCCTTGTGTGACAGTGCTGGCAGATCAACCTCTGTTCGCGGACTTGTGTCGGCACCACACCGACCCCGCTTATTTGCGGACTTGTATCGGCGCCACACACTGACCTCTGCTCTTCCTCTGGCCATTTGTCACTTGGCAGCTTATCATTCATTCCTTGCCGAGTGCCATTTATTGTTTGCTTCCCTGCCAATATCGGCATTTGATCCCCTCTTTATTGGCACTAGGTTATTGATCTCATTCAGTTATTCATCAATAACCCTTGCCACTTATTGTTTATTGATCTGTTCCTCATTTCCAGTTCCTGGGCTCTTGTCCTTATTTAGTTTGACAATCCCCGCTTATCTCCACACCGGACTGACCGGCCTTTCTATATTCCCTCTTGCCTATTTATATACCTTGTAAATACTTTTGGGGACCTCAGTCTGAAATCAACTAGAGTACCCCCCCCTGTCTGGTCTGAGTCTCTCCTTCTGCAAAGGGGGCTTCCCCCCCTCTGAGTCCGTGCTTGCAGAGTCCGCACTCCTCCTACAGGTCTGCTCTGCCCGCAAGTCTTGTTTGAAGTCCACTGTGAGTGTCAATCCGTAAATACGGGATCTCCCCCAAACGTCAAGCTCAGGGCACAGCGCTCCACCTGAGTCGCTGAGGCCGCGATCCCACTCTGCTAACCTTGAACAGCGCTTCCGGACGCGCCGCATATTTCCGCCCGCATATCCGCATGTGCGCGCTCCAACAGACCTCTGCCACAATCTCCGACTCTGACAATAATCCAGTCTCTGACAAAATCCGCGTCTCTGACAGCCCGTCTGGATACAGACGTGGCATTTGTATACAACGTGGGTCATGGGGCAAACGGTGAAAACCCCGATAGACTGTCCTCCGGCACAGCACTCAGACGGGTGCTGGATAATTACCACCATTTCTCACAACCGCCTGCAGCTCCAGAAGGGAGCAAGAGGCGTGTAGACCAAGTCAGGTCTAACTCAGGAAGAAGGCCCACCATCTGAGTGGGGATGGTGATGACGAGGATGGTGGCAAGGGTGGCTCGTCCTGGCCCAACCCACCATTTCTTGACCCATTTGGCACCGAAGTAAAATGGGAGCCTTCATCCA